CCTAGCAGGTCAGTAGTGACAATTTTATCTTCTATTTCACTTGTTCTGTCTTCTATTTCTTTATCTGTTCATGTGTCCCTCCATATGTTGACAGCATCTGAAACATTGGATCATGGTTTTTTGTTTTTCCAGTTCCTCTAATGCCTCATTTGTTTTATATGCATTGCTTTGGATTTTTTTTTAAGCTTCTCCTGGATTTTGCTTGCAGTGTCCTATAATTCTTCAAGTTTGTGTTTCACCCATTGAAAATATTCAGTCATTGTTCTTTTAAATTCTGTGCCACAAAGTTCCATCAGACTTTTTGGCTTCAGGAAATCCGTTATACTGTGTCATTTTTTAGGGTGATACCTTGATAATGGATTTGTTTAGGGAGTGAGGTCGCCTGCTTCTTTCATGGCATTGCTGTGGTAGAGTTTTTGTGCCTGAGGCGATAGCTGTTTCTTGATCTGATGTCACTGCTCCAGAAAAAAGTTGGGCAGGTGCATGTGCAGATGTGCGTAGGGTGGGCACACGTGAGATGCACTTGGGGGTGGGGGGTGGGACACACATGGAGACATGGACCTGAATGGAAAAATCAGGAAGCCTTGGTTTTCTTCTTGAGAACTAGGTCTGCCACCCCAGTCGAGCTCTAGCTGTCTCACTCCCTCCTACTGAAGGTAAAGGGGTCACACAATTGGTCCAGCAATCAGTAGTGATCCTTTCCTAAGTACCTCACTCATATTCGTGCTGACCTGCTTACACCTGGTAGGTGGTTCCCACTGGGACTTGCTGCTCCCCGCTGAGGCTCACCGCTCCCTGCAGAGGTTTGCTGGTCCTGTGGCTCCCAAATTAATTATTTTAATAATAGTTCTTGCTCAAATTCCATTTGTCCTGCTCACTCTGTGCATGTTGCTCTGCCCATCTCTTATCATTTCTTAAGCAAGTTTTCTGGGTCTTCTTTTTTTCTTTTCTTTTCTTTTTTTTTCTAAGTTTATCAGTGGTTTGTCAGTTTCATTGACCCTTTCAAAAAACCAGCTCCTAGTCTTATCAGTAGTTTCAATTGTTTCTCTGTTTTAGATTTCATTGACTTCATCTCTAATCCTTTTAATTTCTTTTCTTCTTATGTGTGTGCCTATTGCTATGAACTGCCCCACCTGCATCACAGAGGTTTTGATATGTTGTATTTTCATTTGTTTCAGGGAACTTTCTACTTCATTCTTTATTTCTTTTATTACCCAATTGTGCTCTAACAGAGAGTTAATTAGTTTCCACAAGGGTGGTTTTGTAAAATTTACCTTCCTGTGGTTAATTCCTAGTTTTATGGCATTATGGTTGAGAAGATACTTTGTATTTCTTCAGTGTTTTTTAATTTGTTGTGGTTTGGTTTGTGTCCTAATATGTGATAGCTTCTGGAGAACATTCCATGTTCACTTGAGAAGAAAAGGAATTGGGTTTTAGTTGGCTGTAGTGCTTGGAATACATCCACAAGGTCAGTTTGGCTGATTGAATAGTTTAGATCTTCTGCATCTTTTTCCTTTTTTTTTTTTTTTTTCAGTTGACCTGTCTTGTGGTGAAATCTCCTACCACTATTTTGGTGCTATTTGTTTCTTCACTTCTGTTAACTATTTTTTAATGTATTTTTCAGGTCAATCATTTGGTACCTAAGTGTTGGCCAACATTATGCCCTTCCTTATCTTAATGGTCATTTTCATTCTGAAGACTATTTTATCAGAGCTTAGTGTTGGTACTCCTTCTTTTTTGATGTTGCCATTTGCTTGGTAGTATTTTTTCCCAGCTTTTGATTTTGAGTATGTCTTTTCTTTTTTCAGATGTGTCTCTTGCAGGCAACATATGGAAGGTCTTTGATATTTATTTTTTTATCCATTCTGCTACTCTTTTTCTTTGATTGGCATATTTAGTCCATTCACATTAAGTGTGAAGATTATCAGGCCAAGTTTTATCATTGTCATTTTTCTGTTTCTTTTTCTGTTGTTTCTCATTACTGCCAGGGTGGACCTTGAAGACCGAGATAATGAAACATCCTCTCATGTATTCTCGGTTTGTTGTCAGGAGGCAATGGTCCTTGGAAAAAGACACCATGCTTGGGAAGGTGTATGGTCATTTAAAGACATTAAGACTCTTAATGAAATAGATATGTCTACCCAGCCACTACAACAGTGGGCTGGAGTTTGATGGAGAGTGTGAGGATGGCAGGTGTTTGGTCTGTTATTGATAGGTTCACAGTGAGTTCAGACCAACTTGGGCACCTGACAACAACAGCTTCCATTTCATTCATTGGACTTTGATTTTTATCTCCTGAAATTCTTCATTTTCTTTGGGCATTTATACTTGTCATACTCTTCTGTATTCTAATAAGATTTTCAGTAAAAAAGGATAGCAGTAAATCTGTGTGCATAATTTGTTCTTTTCAAGCTCAGTTTCTGTTCTTTCTGTACCCTTTATTTCTCCACACAGGGAAATAAACATCTTTTGAGAAATTACTCTTTTCCTAGTAGAATGACTTAAAAGAATCTGAAGAGTCCAGCACACAAAAAAATTTTTTTTAAAAGAGTCCACAACTCTTTAAAAAGCTGCATTATATATTTTTAAAAAGATTCAGTATATGCTACATATATTGTTAACAGCAGAGGTGAGATTTTTTTTTTCACCATAGCTTTCAATAAATAGGCTTGAGGAAGTACAGAGGACCCAACTTCTCAGTTTTTTTATGAGCATTCTCCATGCTTATATTTCTATTTTTACCTTTTCTGGTCAATTCTCATCCCATAACTCTTACATCCTTAATTTGTTCTAAATCTAGTTGCACAATTAGCTTTATGTGGTTGAATAAAATGTCATTAAACAAGTTAATAATGCATTTGAATTTAGCTGCCAAATTCTTTACATTGTCCCCAGGTCACACAGCGTTGATCAGATGTCACCTGTGGACATTCTCATTAAAATGTGTGATGTGACCAGTCTGGTTCGGAACCCTGTGATGCAAACTTGACCTCATTGTTTAGAAACAAGGCTGGCTCTCCAGTGCTATTATTTTGGTTCTTTTGCTTCTTTCCAGAGTGTGTTGTCTGGTCTTCCTGCTCAGTTCCTTGTTTCTTCCCTGTTCATTTAGCTCGATTTTCAGGTCACCGATGTCCAAGTGTTGTGTTTTTGTTTTTGTTATTTTTTTTTTCAACTAATTCTGAATAGTCTTTTTTTTTAATTGTGAGTTTAGTGAAAGTTTGCAGAAAGATGAGTTTTAACACATTCAGTGATAAAGCTCTTTCTCCCTTCCCCTCCCTCAGTTTACTTTGCAATGTATGTCTTATTCTAGATTGTTAATTGTCATAAATGTAATGTCTGATTATCAATTCCTTTCAAATAGCCCTTCCTTTAAAAAATATTTTATTAATTTTAGTGAACATTTACAGAGATTTTGGATTTCCAGTCATTCATTGTTGCATTTTTCTCCCTGCCCACCCCTCCCCCCAGTTCACTCTTCTCTTTGAAAAGTAAAAGAAAAATTCCTTCATTAGTATATAATCTCCCCCAATCCCAGCCCTGCCCCGAGTACATTCCACTATGCAACCTTCATTCTGGACTCTTGTCATAAGCATAATGCCCAATAATATGTTGCTTTTAAACTGTTTTCAACCTCATCTGTTTCAATGCAGTATACATGATTTATTCAATTTTTCTCAGTCTCACCCCAACCCTGATGTCAGTCCTGTTCTACAACAGTGTCAAATAGCCTTTCCTTTTACCTTTTCCAGTTTAGTGTTCATCTGTCCATTCTTTTCAACTCTCATTTCTGTGACCATCCTATTTTTATAACTGTTCTGAGTATATTTCCCATCTTTACCTATAGGTGATTATATTTTTTATTGTTACCCTTATTTTATGGCCATAACTCTGGGTTAAATGTAAATTAGCTTATATTCGTGCTAAAAATGAGGAGAACTTCAAACACATACAAGGATCAAAGACTACAACCTTTAATGTTGATTGTATCTCAACATCAAGAAGATAAAAAATCTTTACCACTAGGCTGGTAAGCAACATCATGATAGATGGAGAAAAGATTGAAATGATCAACAATTAATCTTACGTGGATCCACAGTTAATATTCTACCAGCAGTTAGGAGTTGAGAAATTTTTGCACTGGGAAAGTCCGGTGTCAGGGACCTCTCCAAATTACTAAGGAACGGTGGGTGATGTCAGTTTAAAGACAAAGGTGCATCTGAGTCAGGCCTTAGTCTTTTCAGTCACTTGTATATATCTGAGAATGATACAGTGAAGAAGGATGACAGAAGAATTGATGCCTTTGAGTTGTGCTTTTGGAGAAGAGCATTGAATGTCCATGGACTGCTTAAACTACAGGTTATGTCTTGTAAGAAGTGCAGCTATAGTTCTTCTCAGAGATAAGGATGGCAAAACTTAATTTCACGTGTTTTGGGCATGTTGTTTTCAGAGATGATTTCTTGGAAAGTGGTAGTTTGCTTGGAAGGATAAAGGGTCAATGACAAAGAGGAAGACATTGAACAAGATAAACTGACACAGTAGACAGAGTACAGATAGGTTGTTCATAAGGTCGCTGTAAGTCATATTCAACTCAGCAGCACTTAAAAACAAACATATGTATGACTTTTTGCTTAATAATGAACTACTTACCCACAGCCTCAAGGAATTATTTTTGGTACATGCATGTACCTTTGATTTAGGTTAATCACCCAACTCCCCAACTCTTGAATTTCTTGCTAGTTTTTGGTCTCTACTTTTTATCTGCACCACTTTAAAGTCATTTTCTTATTCATTACTTATTATTAACAGAGTCCATAAAGGACAATCAGGCTCTCGTTGACATTTTATGTTTAGTTAAGCAACCCAATCACCATAACATGTGGAAATTTTTTTTAAAAAATTTTAAATTTTAAGTCTATTCTGATGGATTTATTAAAATGATTCTGATATTTATGATTTACTGGGTTTATTTGTGTTTGTGTGTGTATATATACATGTTCTAGTGTATCCCCTTTTGGCCAGAAGATGCTTCTAACAAACTTCTCATTCAAGTGGAAAAAAGCCAAGATCCTCCCAAAAAGATATATTTTAACAAGCAAGAAAATTGTATTTTATTGCGTCTGGATAATGAGGTGATTTTCTTTTTAATGTTTTGTTAAGAAAGCTATCATATACTAAATAGTATCCCATCTTTTTTGTGTGTGTTTTTTTTCTTACTACAAAATGAAAGAATATGTCTTTTTTGGTAAATTAGAAAAGTCACAAAAGAACACAAAAGCATTGTTACACAGAAAAAGAATTGGATTGATGAGAATACTATAATGGGTCATGGGTGTGAGACTTCACTTCTCTGCATGTAAGAATTAAAATACATGCTAACCCAGAAATGAATTATGAAATGTTATATTCCTTCCTAAATCATTAGCAGATTATTAAATTCTAAGTTATACAAAATTTTATTACAGTGTTATTAGTATTCTTGGGGAAAATGATCACACAAAAGAATATTTTCCTTTCTTTTAGCTTGGAGGCATTATCGCAGAAGTTAATTTGGCTGAGCATTCTACAGTTATTACATTTTCTGATTATCATGACGGGGCTGCTACATTCTTGTTAATCAATCATACGAAAGATGATTTTGTTGAATATAAGCAAAGGTAAGAAGACCATCACAGATAGAGCTATCTCCTGATTTAATGTAGTCTTGGTCAAGAGGCATTGACTTGATGGTGAATCTTAAAAATATAATGGCTGATAATGCCATTTTGATTATTTAAAACAACATTCTCGTTTTTAAAGAAATATGTTCTTATAAAAAGAGCAATTGTAGTGAAGGGGTGGCAGAGTCTGACTTCTTCCCACTTCCTAGAGGGAAACTGTCTCCATCAATAAAATTCATAGCATCAAATAGCTACATGTTCTGGCATGCCATCCTCCATGCTCATACACCTGTTTGTACAAATCATTGGGTCTAGTGTTTGTTGCAACTTGATTCACATACTTTTACTCACAGTTGTGGAGTTTTTTAAGGAAATAAGTTGAAGAGTAGAGGAGGCAAAGACAATGCAAGTCTATGTTCCGTCCAGCAGTCCTAAATCAGATTAACAGCAAGACAAAATTCCTCAGTTAGTTCAGAAAGCTTCCAGTCAACAAGTGAAAGACTAGCAGCATAGATAAACCCCTGGTTTCCTCATTTGTCCAGCAAACTATCTCAGAGCAGTCGCAGATCAGCTTTTTCTTTAGACATCCTGCAAACCAAACCTTAACTGTGGCTCCATCTCCAGGGTTCCTCTGGTTATACTTTACCACAGTCTCTTTACCGTCTCTCCAACACCGTTTTCTCACAGTGTGGAAAGAGCTCTCTTATATTCCGTTAATATAGCTGGACATCAGGTTTGAGGTAAGACTGAGAAAATCGATAAATGATGTATACTGCATTGAAAGAGATGAGGGAGAGAACAGTTTAAAAACGATATATGATAGGGAATCCAGAATTAAGGTTGCATAGTGGAGTGCATTCAGGGCAAGGGGGTGGGGGGATTTTATACCAATGAAGGAGTTAATCTTTTGCTTTTCAAAGGGAGGAGCAAACTGGAGGAGTGAAGGGGGGGTAGAGAAAAAAGTGCAACAATGAATGAATGGAAATCCAAAATATCTGTAAATGTTCATTAAAATTAATAATTTTTTTTTTTGTTAAAAAAAGGTAACTGGAGACCATCCTACCCAACAAGGGCAAAAACAATGGATAGAAAAGCCAATTTTAAGGTTTTTGACTTTCTTTTTCTCTCATTACAAGCCTCAGACTGTTTTGAATTTTCTTTATCCCTATTGTTTTGATCTCACTTGTCATTTATCAATGGAGCCATAATTATACTTTCCTTCCAGTGCTAAATGTAGAAATTTTGATTATTGGTTAAAATCAAACAGATAGCAAGTAAAGACTTATTAAGAGGTGACATAGCAAGCACCTCAGACTTCTTTCCTGCTATTTTCTCATTTTGTAAATGATGTAGGTGGGTGGTGGGGAAACCTGTTAGTGATTAACCATCTGCTTTGTCATTACAAGTTACAAGTAAGTTGATTGATTAAACCTGAAAAATAAGCAAGACTCAAACTCAATGTGAAGTAGAGTTTCCGAGGCACTACATTTTCTACAGATGACCTTACCTTCTCCTGGTGAAAGCATGCAGTCAAACTGCTGGCCTTTCTCTTAATAGACTCATGCTTAACTCACTGTACCACCAGGGCTCCTAAAATGGAGTAAAGCAAATATAAATTATTTCTCTTTTACCTTTCAACCTGTATATCTAGAATGAATTTTCTAAACCAGCATTCAAGCCTTAAGCCCTCAGAGAATCACCTGAGTGACTCATCTCTATTCTCTAATAATAGCGCAAAACTAGTAACATTCTAAGTTCGTAGGACCCAAAGATGGGGAATCTTTTTCTCACAAAATTTGAGCATGTTGTTAGGAGTGGCCAGTCCTTGGAAAATGGCATCATGCTTGGAAAAGTGAAGGGTCAGCAAAGGAGAGAAAGAACCTCATTGAGGTGGATTGACACATGACTGCAACAATGGGCTCAAGTGTGGCAGAGATAACGAGGATGGTACAGAATAGGGCAGGGCTCAGATCCATTGTTTACAGGGTTGTTGTGTCATGGTCATCTGGATAGCACCTAACAACAAGTAGTTAATTCTCTACTTTGATGTTAAAATAGAGACTTTTATAATTTTTTGTGACCTTATAATTTTCTTGACAGATGTGAAGCTTTAATAATCTTTTCACATCCATGTTACAAATGTAGAAAATAAAGAGTAGATAAATATATGATTGTGTGTTGAAATTGTAAAACTTTATATATAACCTCGGGGAAGTTACATAGATTGACAGCTGTGCTTAGAAAAACATTTGCTGTCATTTACGGCAACGTGCACTGCAAGACAATACCATAGACCTGGATTTAATACTGTTTGAAGAAATACTTTCTGAGTCAAGAACCTGAATCTTTTAAGTTCAGGAATAAAAAAAACCAAAAACTGTTTCCAGAGTTGATTTAGAAGATTTCTCCTATTTTTAAGCATTTGTTCCTTCATAAGCTCTTCCACTTTGTCCCTAAATATTGTGAGTTGATATTCCTAACACTGTTCTGTTCTTATTCTTTGTAATCTTTGAATCATTTACTCTATGCCAGTGAAAACTTTTTAGTTAACCTTTTGTGTACTAGCAGACCCCAGATATTTACTACAACTAGACTCATTTGAATGTCAGACCTTCATCTCCTCATAAATATTATAGAAGAGCATATAGTAATTCAAAACAGAACTTACCATATATACACCAAAATCTACTCATATTTTTTTAAAAGAAATGTTTTTCTTGGTAAATCATCTCATAGCACTATCTAGTTAAACTTTATTTTTTAAAAAAACTTACCTAATCTCTCCTATCTTTGTCCTATTTCAGGCTTTCATCATTTCTTCTTGTTGTTATGTGCCCTTGAGTTGACTGCAACTCATAGCAACTCTGTGTTCAATATCCCTGAGTCAGACTCGCTGTCTCTATCATGCCTACCCCCATTATCTCAGTTACTGTGTCAATCCATCTCATCCTGGGTCTTCATCTCTGATGGTGTCCCTCTACCCTTCCAACCATGATGACTGCCCTCCTGGCAGCATGCCCAAACAAAGTATGTTAGGTGGAGCTTCAAAATTCTTGCTTTCAAGAAACAACTTGGCTTCCCCTTATCTAGGACAGACCTGTTTGTTCTTTTGGCAGTCCATGGTATGTTCATTATTCTTCTCCACCACCACAACTCAGAGATATCAATTATTCTTCTGTAATCCTTGGTTGTTGTCAGCTTTTTGATGCAAAGCAAATAATTGCAAAGACCATGGCCTAGATGCCATGCAAATAATTGCAAAGACCTTAGCCGCTAGTCTGACATGACTGCTCGTTAGCACTGGAGAGATTTCCACAGAGCAGATCTTCCTAGTGCAGTTTGTCTTTGATTTCCTGACTGCTGGTGCTAAAAAGATATTGATTGTGGAATACACTTTTGATCGGGCTTCCTTTCTCTAGTCTTGTTACTCTAATTAATCTTCAGAATTACGATTCTAAAAAATACTAAATGTTATTTCCCTTTCCTTAAAATCCTTATTTATTTCAAAATAAAAGTCTATTCCTAGACCATCCCTCTAAAACATTTTTGTTGCTTAAATCTTACTCTTTACTTAAGACCACAACAGTCCTTCTTTCCAAGATGTCCTGCAGTTTTGTGTTTACCACCTTTATGGATGTCGCTCAGCATTTCTTAAGATGAAGGAATTGAAAAATAAGTTCAACCGTCAAGTGGCAGTAGTTAAGGACAGAATATTAAATGATCCAAGAAGCATTAAAAAAGATGGGAGGAGTATGCAGAGTCACTGTACCAGAAGGAATTGGCTAACACAGAAGAATTTCATGAAACAATATTTGAACAAGAGGAAGGAAGAAATTCAAGCTGCTCTGAAAGAATTGGAGAAAAACAAAGCTCCAGGAATTGATGACATATCAATTGACATACTTCAACAAACAGACACTGTCCTGTTGCACTCACTAAGTTATGCCAAGGAATCTGGAAATCAGTCACCTGACCAATTTATGCCAAGGAATCTGGAAAACAGTCACCTGACCAGTTTATGCCAAGGAATCTGGAAAACAGTCACCTGACCAGTTGACTGGAAGAGATCTCTATTTTTTCCCCATTCCAAAGAAAGGTGGCCGGACAGAGTGTTTTAATTATCAAACAATATCATTACTATTATATGCAAGCAAGATTCTGCTGAAAATTATCCAAAAACAACTGGAGCAGTACATCAACAGGGAACTGCCAGGTGTGCAGTCTGGGTTTAGAAGAGGCAGTGGTACTGGGAATATTATAGCTAATGTTAGATGGATCTTTGCTACAAGAAGAGAGTACCAGAGGAATATCTGTCTGTGCTTAATTTACTATGCAAAGGCATTTGACTGTGTGGATCACAGCAAACTGGCTGCCTCTGACTGACAAGAAGGGGAATCTCAGGACACTTGATAGTGTTTATGTGAAACTTATACTTGAACCAGGAGGCAGTCATCCAAACAGAGCAAGGAGACACACTATTCAAAATCAGGAAGTGTGTACTCCAGGGATGCATTCTGTTTCCATACGTTTTCAATCTATATGCAGAACAGATCATCTGGGAGTCTAGTTTGTATGAGAAGGAGTGTGACATCAGAATTGAAGATTCATCAACAACCTTTTATGCAAGATCATACAACCATGCTTGTTGAAACTAAGAATGACCTGAAATGCTTGCTGCAGAAGATCAGTAACTTCAGTCATCAATATGGATTGAAACTCAACATCAAGAAAACAAAGATTCTCACCACTGGGCTGATTGGCAGAATTATGATAGATGGTGAAGAGATTGAGATTGTTAACAGCTACAGTTTGGCTCCACAATCAAAACTCTTGTACTAACAACCAGAAACTCAAGAGACTAATTGCATTGAGAAAATCGAATGTCAGGGACGTCTTCAGAGTACTGAAGGGCAACGACATCAGTCTGAAAACTAAGATGCAAGCTCATCCAAACCATAGTCTTAGCAATTGCTTGCTATGCATCAGAGAGCTGGACA